TCTCCTGAAATTTCTACAAGCCAATTTTAATTGAGTTTTCATTATTGAAAAATAGTCTGAAATTCCAGAATGAACGGTTCCATATCTCCTAACTCGTTACAAATGAAACGGGGTCGCTGGAATTTCATTAAAAAAGCATCTCACGTTTCGGGCATTTTATTCCCAAAAACCAAATTCGTTCATCTCAAAAAACAAGCTCGTTTGAAAACACATTCGTGTTATAACTTATAACTGGCACAAATCGACTCCTAAATATAAATGAATACAGGAGGACAAAGAAGTAAAAATATTTTTTAATTATTATTTAAGTGTTAATTCTAATAACAATTCTTATGTTAATTCTTATGTCAATTCTTATGTCAATTCTTATGTCAATTCTTATGTCAATTCTTATGTCAATTCTTATGTCAATTCTTATGTCAATTATTATGTCAATTCTTATGTCAATTCTTATGTCAATTCTTATGTCAATTCTTATGTCAATTCTTATGTCAATTCTTATGTCAATTCTTATGTCAATTCTTATGTCAATTCTTATGTCAATTATTATGTCAATTATTATGTCAATTCTTATGTCAATTCTTATGTCAATTCTTATGTCAATTCTTATGTCAATTCTTATGTCAATTCTTATGTCAATTCTTATGTCAATTCTTATGTCAATTCTTATGTCAATTCTTATGTCAATTCTTATGTCAATTCTTATGTCAATTCTTATGTCAATTCTTATGTCAATTCTTATGTCAATTCTTATGTCAATTCTTATGTCAATTATTATGTCAATTCTTATGTCAATTCTTATGTCAATTCTTATGTCAATTCTTATGTCAATTCTTATGTCAATTCTTATGTCAATTTTTATATAATTTTTTATGTCAATTTTTATATCAATTCCTATGTCAATTATTATGTCAATTCTTATGTCAATTCTTATGTCAATTCTTATGTCAATTCTTATGTCAATTCTTATGTCAATTCTTATGTTAATTCTTATGTTAATTCTTATGTCAATTCATATGTCAATTCATATGTCAATTCTTATGTCAATTCTTATGTCAATTCTTATGTCAATTCTTATGTCAATTCTTATGTCAATTCTTATGTCAATTCTTATGTCAATTCTTATGTCAATTCTTATGTCAATTCTTATGTCAATTCTTATGTCAATTCTTATGTCAATTCTTATGTCAATTCTTATGTCAATTCTTATGTCAATTCTTATGTCAATTCTTATGTCAATTCTTATGTCAATTCTTATGTCAATTCTTATGTCAATTCTTATGTCAATTCTTATGTCAATTCTTATGTCAATTATATGAAGACTAGAGATAAGGAGGCGAATCGGCATGCTCAAAATACGGTCCCAAAAATTACACGTCAATTACGTAGTTCAAAATACATGGCTTCTTATGGGAATTATACATAATTTTGTCAAAATAATAAAAATCAACTTGTTTAGAGCTAAATAAAGCACAGAACATACTGTTGTATTTATTTCTAAATAAGTCTTACATATTTTAATTGATACATTATTTACTATTTATTCCTATTTAAGTAAAATGCAAATTATTGATGACAAGGGTTGAAATTTGATGGGTAGGGCTAATTATTTTTTAATTAAAACTAAATAGGGCATACTAAGACACGGTTTAAATGAAAATATTTATTTTAGTTAGGGATTTTTAAAATTTTATGAAAATAATAAAAATCAAATTGTTTATTGCTAACTAAAGCACGGAAAATACTGTTGATTTTAATTATTATAAATAAGTCTTTGTTTTAATTGCTAACTAAAGTACAGAAAATACTGTTGGTATTAATTATAAATGAGTCTTTATGTTAAACGTTATTTACTATTCATTATTTATTTTATCTAAATAAAATGAAAATTAGATATGACCAAATTTGAAAAGGTTTGTTTCTGGTGAAATTTGGCAAGAACAGTTTTGTGGTAATTTTGTATTCGACAACTACAATTTCATCATCCTGGTGAATAGGTAGTTTCTTCAGCAATAGGTTCTAGTATTTTCTTCCTTTTTTCATTCTAACAAATTCAGTTCGGTTCAATGGTGGTTTTCGTCTTTTCCTAATACTGGACAAGTATGAAAGAAGATTCGGGAATATTGTAATGAAGTCAATTTTCATTACTATATTTCGGCCTATTCCGGATATAAATTTTAATTTTAATTTTATTTTAACTTCATGGGTAGACCCTGTATATCAAATTTTGTTTCATTTAAATTCGCGTATTATACCTGAGTAACGACAGCGCGCGCGATTCGCGCACATCGAGTGGGCATAGAGACTCGGATTCAGAATTCAGTATTAAAAGAATTCATTCAAAATCATTCGACTAGCTTGAATTCATTTTTCCGACCTCGTAAAGTCTGCTTCTATATACGCTGTTAAATCATTGCCGAGACCGTAGTTAGGTACACCGAATTAATGTTTACGTTTTTTTTTTCCTGTCGTCGGTTCTTGAGCTAAAGGTTTGAATACCAGTTTTATTTGATTAAATTATTCCGTTTTCGATTTTATTTAATAGAAATAATAATTGACTTTAGATTTTCGTTAAAAATATTTTGATTTACAGATAAATTATTTAGTTTTGATTTTATTTAGAAATATTGGAAATTAGTTTTGGTTATTAGGAAGTAGAAATTTTGTTTCTATTTTATTAATTACTTAATTTTTATTGCGACCGTGGATTGTGTTTCTATTTTAGAGTAATAGTAAACCTAATTACAAATTAAATTCCGTATACAGTTAATTACTTAATTTTCATTGCGAACGTGGATGTTGTTTCTATTTTTAAGTAATCATAAATTTAAATTTAAATTAAATTCCGTATATAGTTAATTACTTAACTTTTACTACGACCATAAATTTTGTTTCTATTTATTCACAATCTGGTTTAACTTTTTTTTAAATTTATGTTTCTTTACTTGGGAATAAAATTAGTTCGAAAGTTGGAAAGTTGAAATAGTATCATTTTTCATGTTGAGTGGACTGGTTTTGGCGAGAAAGCACACATGGGATTAGATACTATCCCGGTTTTAGATTTTTTTTAGATTAACCCCTAGCCGTGATTAACATATTAGTGTTTTTCTTATGTTTGAGAGGGCTGATTTTGGCGAGTACACTCATCATAGGATAAATACTGACCCGGTTTAGTATTTTGTTTTATGTTTGAGCGGGCTGGTTTTGGCGAGTACACTCATCATAGGATTGAATACTAATCCGGTTTTTGATTATTTTCTTTTAGTTACCTCCGCGCCGTGATTAAAATGATAGTATCATTTTTATGTTGAGCGGGCTGGTTCTGGCGAGTGCACTCCTCATAGGATTGACACTATCCCGTTTTCTTATCATTTATCTATTCCCTATTCACTAACACAAGGAGGTTTGTTTCAGTTTCAATACCGACTAGGTAGTTAACCAGATAACTTTTTGCTACGACCGTGATTTTGTTTCTGCTTTTACGAAACAAAATATTTAGGTTCAATTTTTTTTTGCCGATTTAACGGTTAACTAGCTAACTTTTGCTACGACCGCAATTATTTGCCATTTTTCTTCTTTAACTGAAATAGTAATTTCGTTTTTGGTTTCGTTTTGGCTCAACCACCGAACCGACAATTTATTAATTAGTTACTATTGCCACCGATCATCTTTCTTTTAATTTTAATTATACCGTCTGATTGAGACTAATCAAAGTTCACTACTGGCCGATCTGTTTGTTTTTCTTTTTGTTTAGGGTTTTAAAAATACGAGCGAGGGTGGGCGTTGAAATATTAGTTACAAATTATTTATTGTAAATAGTTAAAATTCAATATATGTGTCAACGTTACCTTGACTGTTACTGAGGTTACTGATCCCTAATTTACTTCCCCCTTTATTTCAGCAGTGAGAAATTCTTTACCACCACAAGTCACGATTAAAGCCCGTTACTTGTGGTTACTTATTACCTGTGTCTGAGTGACCAACGACCCCTGGAATTTTTCATCTCCATCTGTGCTGCCCGAGTACTTTCGACGCCGTTTTGAAAGTTTGTGGAGTAAACCACACATAAAATCTGGCGCCCCAGAGCCGTCCCGTCAACAGGCGTCATTTGTAAGTAATCGTTTTCTCTGAGGCGAGAAAACCCCTTGCAATATACATGGTATTGCTTCATTCTTTAATCTCGGCCTGTCCCTTTTTATTTGGTTAACAGTACCATTAGTTAAAATAGTCTCATCAAATTTTAAAATATCATCTTCTAAAAGTGTAGCTCGCAAACAGAATCATAACTAGACAGTACTTTATCAGCCCTAGGAATCATATGCTGCCATTGTACTAAACGTTTAGGATCATATAAAAAATATTTGCAATGACTAAATTGGAGTTTAATAAAGAAAAATAACAGTAGTAACTCTTCATCTAACATCAAAAAACATAAAAATGCAAATGTTCTTTTCTAGTAAGTTAAATTTAATGTGTAATTATTTTTGTTTGTAAATCAGGATTTTTGACTTTATTATTTTTTATTATAGAATTTTGTAATTAAATAAACTACACTCCGTAAGATACGGGTTGTGACTATTTTACAATAAATATACATTATTTAGAAATAAATACATTATTTTACTTACACTAGGAGCTCTAAAAGACTTGGATTTTTATCTCCTTGTGTTTTCTTTAATTTTATATCGGATTTATATCCCGTTTTTCAACCCGGAACGAATCAAATTCTGCTTTGCCTTTTTTTTCACTAAATTTTACAAAAATCACTTTAATTCCCATTGACTTGCATAGAAAATAGACGTCGTTATTTTGCCAACCGCCAACTGGAGTAGTTTTTTGGAACTCCATAAAAATAGGGACGGAAATTTGAAATTTGACCAAGGCCGATTCGCCTCCTTATGTCTAGTCTTCATAGTTAATTATTATATCAATTATGTCAATTATTATGTCAATTATTATGTCAATTATTATGTCAATTCATATGCCAATTATTATTTCAATTATAATGTCATTTCTAATGTCAATTGTAATGTCAATTCTAATTTCAATTCTAATGTCAATTCTAATGTCAATTCTAATGTCAATTCTAATGTCAATTCTAATGTCAATTCTAATGTCAATTCTAATGTCAATTCTAATGTCAATTCTAATGTCAATTCTAATGTCAATTCTAATGTCAATTCTAATGTCAATTCTAATGTCAATTCTAATGTCAATTCTAATGTCAATTCTAATGTCAATTCTAATGTCAATTCTAATGTCAATTCTAATGTCAATTCTAATGTCAATTCTAATGTCAATTCTAATGTCAATTCTAATGTCAATTCTAATGTCAATTATAATGTCAATTATAATGTCAATTCTAATGTCAATTCTAATCTCAATTCTAATGTCAATTCTAATTTTAATTCTAATGTCAATTCTAATGTGAATTCTAATGTAAATTCTAATGTAAATTCTAATGTAAATTCTAATGTAAATTCTAATGTAAATTCTAATGTGAATTCTAATGTAAATTCTCATGTCATTTCTAACGTCAATTCTAACGTCAATTCTAACGTCAATTCTAACGTCAATTCTAACGTCAATTCTAACGTCAATTCTAACGTCAATTCTAAGGTGAATTCCAATGTCAATTTTAATGTCAATTCTAATCTCAAATTTTATGTCAATTTTAGTGTCAGTTAAAATTTACTTCCAGATAGACGTATTTAAAATTAAAGTTTGTGGGTTTGTGCAATGAGTATCTGTCAGATATATAAATTGCCATTCCTGAAAGTGATTTGAAAATAAATGTGAATTTATTAATTTAAAACTTTAAAATAAATTTTATTGAAGTTTAGAACTTTTATTATATATATGTTAATTATAGTTTTAGATATTTTTATAATACCTAATTGATCAGTAAGAACATGATTTGACAGACATATACTAACTCAACTACATTATAAATACGTATCCATAAAATCAGTTGAGACACCAAAAATAGCACTACCTCAAATGCCAACGACGAAAAAAAGTCAAAAGATATAGCTCAAAATAATTTGACAACATAACAGCTAGGCTTCAATTAATAAGAATGACATGTACAAAGCACATGACCTAAAAAAATATTATTAGTGTTATACATAGTGAAATGTGTAAAATTCAACATTATCAGTTTCACAAATATTTGGTGTTTTTCATCATATTCCTCAACTGCTTCAATAGTATTACGCTGAATGGCTGCTCCTAGTGGGTAAACTCAACTCGATGACAACAAATATACTGGGATTTCGCCTAAAGGTAATTTTCTTGTTGTTGTGTTATTGCATGAAATGTACAAATAATTGCACTCTTTGAGATGATGCACAATAAATGTATGCGCAGTTGCATATGTATACAATTCAAAGTTATGATTGTTGATGTGATTTAAAGTTATTCACTTCTATGATGTTCAGAAGCCACAACAAGAAAGCAACACTATGTTTTCACCCACCTTAAAAAAATAGAACCATGTAAAATAATTTAATACTGTTACGGGTTTTATTCTATCTAAACCTAGACTAGTCTAAATTACCCTAGTTAACACTACTCTAAACTAATCTAACCTATCCTATTTCGTAGCCTACTCTATTGTAAATTATTCTAACCTTACACTATTCTCAACTATTCTAAACTAATCATAATTATTCTAACTTATTCTACTTTCTATCCTACCCTATCCTAAATTAGTCCAATCTATCCTATAACTATTCTACGCTTAACTATTTACACTATTCTACTTCTACTCTTTTCTACGCTTAACTATGTACACTATTTTACTTCTAATCTATTCTACGCTTAACTATTTACATTATTCTACTTCTAATCTATTCTACGCTTAACTATATACACTATTCTACTTCTATTTGATTCTAACTTACCCTAAGCCTCTCTAATTACTAAACTGCCCTATTATATCCCTATTCTACTATAACCTGTGCTAATCTCTTTAGTTACCTTTAGATTTAAGAGTGTGCGGTATATAAATGTATATAAATCAATAAAATGGATCCATTAAATAAATTCATAAAATATCCATTTTTATCAAACATATTTTCTAGTATAATATAAAATAATATTTTGTAATAAAGTATGATAATTAGTACCGTTAATAAATAATTTATAAGGTAAGTAAATATATTTCGCTACTTTGAACAATAACTCTAGCTAATTTATTTACTAAAAAGCTTCAGTTGTCAGATTCTTCTAAATTTATAAATATTGACCACAGTCTTACCAGAAATTATCCTATTACCCTTTTGTATTCAGGATCTTCTTGCTAAGACATTGACTTTTGTTGGCCATTTTGTGGAACTTCCTTCCTGGCCCAGTTTTTGCTTGGATTCTGATTGTGGCATGTGCTAAGATTTCAGCTAGAATTTTCTAGGATTTATTCTTGGACAAAAACCATAGATTTCTTCAGTTCGATATATTGTTTAAGTAATCTTTGTGATTCATTGATTCATACACCTAGTGGTGGATATAGTATCGGGCTGAAAGTGTGAATTTAATAAATTAATAACTAAGAGGTCACATACCATCAAGGATGAGTTTTTCAAAATAAATTATTATTTCAATTACCTATATCCTAACAGCCTTCTGTATACATAATCGTTACAATCGTCAATGTTTTTTAGACCTCCTTGGTTCGCTTCTTTCATCCGCGCGTTCCTTTCTTCGTTCGTTCAGATTTACAATTCTGCGTAAACGCTTTTATTATAGGAATACTCCTAAAGCAGTGGTCGCCAACCTGTCTATCGCGAGCTACCGGTAGCTCGCGGAGGCAATTCTGGTAGCTCTCACAATGATTTAATTTAAAAAATACAAACTGCAAAAATCAGAGAAGCTTCCGAAAATTCCACAAAAAATCTAATTGTCATAATATTAAACATAAACAACGGCAACGTTGCGCTGAGCGATCTACCGCTGACGCCATCAATCTAGAATCGGCTAGAACCGACCAGCCGGACCAGCGCGTTAGTGTTCGAGAACGATCAGGATTGCTTTGAACGGGATAAATACGCACTGTGCGGCGACATTGCGCTTAGTTTAAAACTGATCGCGTAACCAACGTCCAGCGGTTAGGTTAGTAGAGAACAACAAAAAATAATATTATGGCAAGCAGTTGTAATAAGGTAAAGACATACCACTTTCATTCGAAATGGGAAGAACAATACTTTTTTACAGTTAAAGATAAAAATGTGTGTTTGTTATGTAATACTTCGGTCTCCGTTGCTAAAAAAGGAAATATTGAGAGACATCATAAAACAGTACATTCTAATTTTGAAAAATCATTCCCACTACATTCTGCCACGAGAAAGGAGAAACTAAAACAGTTAAAAAAGCAGTTAATTGGACAAAAAACAATATTTTTAAGAACAAAGTCGACAAAAATAAGGCTGCAACTGAAGCATCGTACCGTGTGTCCCAGATAATTGCACAAAAAAAAGAAACCTTATGAAGACGGGGAAATGATAAAACATGCGTTTTTAGAAGCTGCTGATTCGTTATTTGCCAAATTAAGAAATAAAGACGAGATAGTTTCAGCTATAAAATCTATGAAACTTTCTGCTAATACAGTGATGAGACGTGTAGAAGTAATAAGCAATGATATTTTTTTACAGTTAAGAACTGACTTAGATAACTGTGTTTATTTTTCACTTCAACTGGATGAATCAACAGATGTCGTTGACACTGCCCAGATGGCTGTGTTCGTAAGGATGGTTTTTAGTGATTTTACGATTAAAGAAGATCTTTTGAAGTTTATTCCACTGAAAGGACACACTACTGGACAGGAGTTGTTTTCTCATTTAAAAAATATTATTTCTTCCGAGAAAATTCCAATATCGAAAATGGTAGGCTTGACAACCGATGGCGCTCCAGCTATGAGTCTGGTGGCGTTATGTCGTAAAGATGAAACTTTTCCGCAATTTCTCTGTTACCACTGCATTATCCATCAGCAAGCATTATGTGGAAATTTCCTGAAACTAAAGAACGTTATGAAACTGGTGGTAAAAATTGTGAACAAGATTAGAGCTCAAGCATTACAAAGAAGATTATTCAAAACCTTGGCCGATGAAGTTGACTGTCAATACGGGGACCTACTCCTTCACTCTGAAGTCCGATGGTTAAGTAGAGGACGGGTGCTGAAACGTTTTAATGATGTCCTATCTGGCATACTTCAATTTTTCAAACAACGCGATGAACCAACTCCGGAACTAGAAAATTCAATCTGGCTTAGAGATTTTGGTTTTCTCGTGGACATTACAGAGAAATTAAACGAACTAAATTTGCAGCTTCAGGGGAGAGACAAAAAACTAGCGGAAATGATTTCTGATATAAAAGCATTTAACGAAAAGCTAGAGTTTTGGGAACAAAACCTAATTAACAGCGATGCCAAGCATTTTCCTATTCTTTCAGAAAAAATATCTCAAAATCCATTAGAACCCTATGACAGCAAATATAATGTAGAAATAGTTTCTTCCATGAAGAATAACTTCAAAAATCGTTTTAAGGATTTCAACGAAATGGCTTTAGTAGCGCAGTTTGTTGTTTCACCCTTTATGGAAATTGATATCCAACAGTTTGCAACTTGTGTTATGCAGAACTCTAGCGAAGACATCGCTGCAACAAAAATGGAAGTAATTGAGTTTCAAAATGATTTAGCCTTAAAATCGTTAGTCTCAAGTACCAAATGTATCTGGCCTATTGTAAGTAAAGACAAATATTCAGTTCTATGCCGTGTTGCCTTGAAAGTTAACGCATTATTCAGTTCAACCTTTGTGTGAGTCTTCTTTTTCCAATATGAAGTTTATTAAGAACAAATATTGCAATCGACTTACAGATGAACATTTGGATAATTGTATTCGAATGGCTGCATAAAATTATACTGCAAACATTAAAAAAATTATCGATGAGTCTGAGTGTCAGCCTTCTCATTGAACGTGCTTTTTTATTTTTCAATGTTTATGTTCATGATAGTGCGTTACTTTTTTGTTGTTATTATTAACTATTTTTAAATCTTACGTGACATGCCGTTGTGGCTGGATAAAAGTTTGTGTTTATTTTTCAAACACCTTCGTTTGGTAGGTAGGAATGTAGCTATGAACAAGTACGTACTGATATAATTAGTTATTTTGTTATTAGTTTATTATTAGTACCTATGTATTATGTATTACCAGTTAAATAGTAAAATAAATACATATAATGATAAATTAACTGTGGATTATTTCATTTACGTTGCCTTACGTGGCTTCGTTGTGGGTAGCTCGCTGTTTATTCCAAAATTAACAAAGTAGCTCA